GCTTTGTTTGTCGTGAACTCAACACCGGTGGCGACCACCAGCTATTCATTTGCTGCTTTCCATTTTTCTTTCTTTTTTTCTATAAGCGCCGCAACGATCGTCGTCGTTGAAATAGTTTTTTGCTAGCTTCTTTGTTTTATTCGCCGTTGTTCGCTTCTCTTTCCCGTTTCTTCTTATTTTCGTCGGGAATGGCGACACCATTTTTTCTGCAAAGTTCGGTAAGTGTTTGCACGTTCATTTTTATCCTCACTTTTTGTTTTGTTTTTATGCTCCAGCAGCTCGTGCGCTTGCTCTGAAAGTATTAACATGTCGTTTTTGCATGTTTCAACGATTACAACGTAGTTCGAGTAGCTAAACGCCTTTTTTCCGCTTCCCAGACGCGTTTCAAACGCGTGTGATCCCCTGAGAGGCGTTTGAGACCGCTAAATAAACTGCTCTATCTTTGTTTATGCGCGTGTTGTTATTCGATTGTCGTTGCAGTTGCGATCAGTGGATTCCGCTTTGCAAGCGGATTGACCGTAATAAATTGTTTCTGCTGTTAGGGTGACGATACGGGGCTTGTAAAGCTCGAGGACGTCGCGGAGCCTATACTTTTCCATTGCGACGACTGCTTCCGTAGACTCCGAGTCCGCTAGAGGCGCCACTGTCACGTTCGCCGCCGCTCCTATTTGTTTTCGGAGGAGTTTCCAGTATTGGCGAAGCTATATTGTATTTGATTAAACCCTTGATCAGTAATCGCTGCATGGGTAATTTTAAAACTGAAGGGTGCGTGACTTAGTACGTTTGGTGAGTAGCTGTAGACTTAACTGAATGCTTTGTAAGAATGAGAGTGGATTTCTAACTTATCACATTGTAACTCTATTAAATCCCATATTAAAGCGATTTCTTTTTTTTTTTTCTTTTTTACATTCTGCTAGCATTTTTTGAATGCGGGAAGGCCTCGTGACTTTACAAGTATGACTTCTCGAGGGATATTTGATTAGTAGAAATAGTTACGCTGATGACTCGAGTATACATTAGTGAGTTCTTTGGCCGTTACCTATGGGCGCCGTATGACGTTGCGCCCTACGTGTCTACTCTTGGTCGACAACGGTTCTTGAAAAAGGTGTTTTTTACGTTTTTGTTTATGGGCACAGCGAAAACGCGTCCGCAGCCATGTCGAATGGATCTGTCCGCCTCCACCCCTATCCATGCTTAAAACGGCTGCTCTAAAAAAAAAAAAAAAAAAGAAAGCGATGGCAAAAAAGCAGGAATACGTCCGGCTTCGGGGGCAGCAACTCTCCGTCTCCGGCGCGATTCGCACGAACACGAGCGATTATTTTAAATAACCGGGAGCCATCGTTCCATCCACTTGTCCACGCGATTACTCCGTGCCCGAGCGGCAAACAATGACACCTCGCCGAAAATCGGCGGCGCCAGTCGGAAATGGCCGACGTCGCGTATCGCAGACCGGCGCATTTCGACTCGTCGTTTGCTTGTTTTCTGGCGCTTGTTGCCGCCGCCGGCCGTGAGTGGGCGCTGAATGCCTATTCGACTGGTGGCGCCGCCGCCCGACCGCTGACTAGGTTTGGGACGGCGGCGATTTTCGTTTAAATGAGAAGAAAAAGAAGGTGTTTGGAGGCTACCTTGCGCTTTGTGCGAACGTCTTATTCTCTTTTCTTTGTAGTGCCGCTGTAGTTCGTTTTCTTTCGATATTTCTTTAACGCCGGCTACCGTAGCTGCCCGATATTTCGCGAAGCCGGCGCTGGAGGTGTATGTGTGCGTGCGTCCGTGCGTTCGAGTCCATGCGGAGCGCTGAGCCGTGTATCGGCGACGCGTTCGATCATCATCAGCGCAGGAAATTGGGCAAAATCGGCAAGCCTGATCACGCCAACTTCTTCATCGTGACTCTGCGGTGTTTCTGCCGCCACTCGGCTTCTCCGTTTTGGACGAACCAATGGTACGGACTCTGCGGTATCTGCTGCGCTGTCTCTTCTCGTTTTCTCTTTGTCTCTTTTTCTGTCTCTTTTTCTTTGCTTTGTACTATGTTCAGCACACATTCTGCTTGTCTATCGCGGTTGCGGTTAAATTGCACCCGCGGGAAATCGCGCATCCTTTACGTCTGCTTTCTCTCTTCGTTGACTGTTTATACCCAAGTCTTGGTCGTTTTGTTTGTGCTGAGACTAGAATGGCAATGTAGTGGCGCCGCCTTTGCAAGATCCGTGTCGTGGGGAGACCAGACGAAGATGTACGTTTGTTCTTCAACTCGGGTCCGCGATTCGATATTCTCAAAGATAGCTATGGGAGTCTGAATAACACAACGCATTGTATGCAACTGTATCCGCATATATGTCTCCATTGCCAGAAAGGATTCTATTTGTACTTCTAAAATATGTGTGGCTTCAGTGACGGATGGTGCGATAGGCTGACGTAGGTGACAACAGAGATTTAACATATCAGTTTGAATATCATTAGAATGTACTACAAGGGAAAAGGGTTAAAGATTTGATAGGACGTTCCAAACACCAATAAAGGTTAGACCCATTTCCTCTCTACTTGATTTTTCTTTCGTTGACACTATAGCTTAGTGGGAACGCATAAACTAACTTAAAGGGGTACTCCGGCCGTTTTTTGAGCTACCTAAACAAATTGCATTTTCTGACTACCCGGACTTCAGTCGTCATGGTATGCTATTCATTTTCTCGAAATTCAAAATAGCAATTGAGAAAACCGTAAATGAAGATGATACTGAAACCAGCATTCAAATTTTCGCGCGCTCTTCAGTGGTGTGACGTCACACATGGTACAGACTTTCAGGTCGTGCGTGTAGTCTTAAACAGAATATGTCGAGTATTTTTTGCGTGCTTCTCAGTGAGTCAGTTACTAAGCATTCTTTTCTCACCACCAAACATCTTGTAATCAGTTGGGAACATGGTTTACTGTCCACTTTGTACCATTTCTGTCGTCACACTTCAATGTTGCCAGTAGGGGCTCCCGGTTTGAGAAGAAACACGATGAAAACGAGATTAAAAAATTCAGTAACTTCGCGATTTTTTTTTTTTTTTTCACACAATACTTGGGGAATTCCTAGAGCCGTGTCTATCTGTGTGTTGAGCCAATTTTGAGGCAAATCAGCGACCATGAAAAAATCGCCGGAGTACCCCTTTAAAGGTTATCATTTGAGTCTTCTATTTGTTTCAACTTTCTCATTTAGATTTTCTCAAATTAAGCATTAAAAAAAAACATGTTTGGTTTCGCATTGAGCATTTGCATGTGGTACGTTTGTGTCTCATCCTTCGCATTTGAGCCTTCCTGGAAGTACGAAGAATACAGCGTAACGGTGTATGTTTTGCAGGGAGGTCGATCGTGACAGATATATATAGCCAAACGCTCAAAGGGTTCAAAGCTACATTCACATTAGCTGCACCTCCCCGTCCCTCCAAAACAAACAAACAAACAAAACAACAACAACAAACAAACAAAAAACAGTTGTATTTTGTTTAGTGTAATACTTTGAATGAGATAAATGCGGTATCAAAAAGGATTTATACCAACAACAATGAAACGTTCAAGATTCTGGATGTTGTAGAAATTTATTCGAAGTTTGGAAGCGCAATGGACGTTCAGGCCTTGTTTGGCAGTCGGTTTTAAGGCAATATTCTTAGTGTATCATAATTTACGAAAAAAACTAATAATGTATCCCTGTTCAACTTTAAGAATGGCATATAGTTACGAACAAAACAGCAATACGTGTTCTTATTAATGTTGAAAAAGCTTTGATGAAATTTCCATCATCTTCTCGAATGAGGTAAAGAAGAAAAAGAGAACACGCGTTGCAATCTTATTTTGCAAGTCCCTAACCTGGAGCCGATATTTGATTATACAGTAAGAAACCCAGGGCTCCTCGCAGAGTCGGGCGTTCGAACGCGTGGAGCAGGCGACGCTCTTTGCTCTGATTGTAGGGGAGATAGAGGGTAGCGACAAACGCAGCTATAGCCTTTGCTTCTACCCACTAGTCCTTCCAATCAAAGCTCGTCGTTCTGACGTCACTGCACGTCCTCATCTCTTCCTTTGCCTTTGTTTCTTACCGTATACAGTCGACTGCATCACTTCGGTCATTTACCACGAACATAAATTGCGAACGTGGACTTCGCGACACTGCCAATTCAAACGCGACATCGGCGCTTTCCTTTTTTTTTTTTTTTGCATTTTATTTGTGAATGGTATAGGCGGGCGCCAAATTCTATCGCTCAAGTCATCGCTCAATATGAGCCTTCTCATCATGCAAGAAGATTCAATAACATAATTTTGCTTCTAAAAAAAAAAAAAAAAGAAAACGAAGAAAACAATGGTTGCGTGTTCGCGTCAGCAGACACGCGCTGTGTTCAACTTTTTTCCACTAAACTGGCAATTTAAAGACGAACGCTTGCATGTTCCTGTCTTGATTTTTTTTTTTTTTAGCATAGAAGGCCTTGACGTTTAGATGTATGCAAACTTACAATGAACTTAAACACAAACAAACGATAAACAACATCATACACGCACGCACGCAAAGCAAAGTTTTTTTTTTTTTTTTTGCTTTGCTTGGACAGTGTGAAATGCGCGCACACGCTTCGCGAACCACGACGGGTGATTCGATGGAACCTTTGGCATCTAAGATGAGGTCCTGGAGCACATCCCCCACACGCTGTCGTCACAGACACCAACACAACCTCACTCGCTCGTGCCTGCTGCTAATCGCTGCCGCCACGCGCGTGTGCACCGGGCATTCCTTGTCAACACCTCCCAGATAGAAGGCTTTAGTGCTCAATTTTTGACGTTATCTACTGAGGACCAGAGCCGGGTGCAATTGCACGCGAGTGTTACGTCAATGTTTGGCCGGAACTCGCGTTTAATCAGTCAACACACGAGTCGCAATTGAATGGGACACAGCACTCGTATCCGATATCTTACCCGCGCTGGCCCTCAGTAGATGATGTAGGAAATTGAGCACTACAGACTTCTACTTGGGTGGTGTTTCCCTAGTTAAGCTCTGTTTCGGTCGTGGAGGGTAGTTCCCGAACCATCACAGAGGAGGAGTCTGCAGGGACGGAAGGAGCCACAGCACGGAAGAACTGTTCTCGGCCCAGGAAGGCCTGGACGCCGCGCCGGTGGTAGAGGTCGAGGGCCCTCTGGAAGCCGTCCAAGCCCATCGCGGCTCCTTGCGGAGCCGCCGAGAGGCCGCTGATGGTGGTCAGGTAGTTGCTGTACGAGTAGGGCCAGAAGCTGGGAACCGCAGAACCGAGACCCGCGCCCGGCCAGAGCCCCGGCATCGCACCCATCCCGGGCAGGAGTTCGAGTCCCACCATGGCTTGCCGTTTCCATTTGGTCCTGGACAACGGTGTGATGGTGGTCAATGAGAAAGAAGGTAGGATAAAAAATGGACCATTGAGTCATGCCGCAGACAAAGATCTGTGCGTCACTGACGCTTACGAGACGTCCAATATGGTAACGCTCGAAGATAAGGACAGGAGGATTGGACACCGCGAGTGCACAGTGGTGTCCAGTTCTGCTCCCTTTTGTCAGTCTGGAAACGCTACAATGTATTCCTAAATTCAGCACTCACTCACCCAACAATCAGTACTGTGTAATTAAGCTAGCCCTACGTGTCAGGATAAATTAAAACTTACGAAAATAAACCCACTCGTAGACAGCAGACACTGCATGCAGAACTACCTCACAACAAAATCGTCTCAGAAGCTTCTGTAAGGAAAAACCCAATAATCGCTTTTAGCATGTAGCTATATTTGTCTGCTGGACTGTATATCTCGTTCTGAGCATGCGCAAAAGCTTTCTTTTTTTAAATACCTTGCAGTATGCGTGAGTTCACAGCCAAGTGACTAGGCCAGTTTCACTCGGGTAATAGGCTTTGGAAGGCTCAATTGTACATCCTAATAAATGTAAAAAAAGGTATATTGTGCTGTAAATTATATAACGATGAGTTAGTCAGCCGTAAAATGTATCTAGTTGATAGCAAATTGGCCACAAAAGTGACAAATTAGTAAACGATGACCAGCTACGTTTTGTTGAGCTTATGTATATAGAAACAAAAGACGTCTTGAGTTTTTCAGTGTAGAGAGGTGGCTCTTTGCGCTGTCTTATAGCCTCTTGTCTTTGTCCCTAATAATAAACTCGTACTCGAGGACGCCACCGTACCTTCTGTTCTGGTACCAGGTCTTGACCTGGGTGTCGGTGAGGTTGAGCTTGGCGGCCAGTTCCATTCGGTCCTGGACGCTCAGGTACTTCTGACGCTCGAAGCTCTTCTCCAGGGTCTAGAACATGAGGTCGAAAAAGGGCACGTTGAGACTCGTTTACGCAGATTCGGAGATGAAGCCCCGGCGACTTTTTATAAAAATAAGGCGCGCTCATAGCTCTGTTTGTGTGTTTTGCAATTTCGAACTGATCGCAGTTTCGAACGCACGTTGGCTGGGCTGTGACCTAGTACGTTTGGACAGCGACTTTTGTGGCCAGTAGAATCGTCTATAAGCCTTACATAGAATCTACAGAAGGAAGTCAGCTCCCAAAATCCCGGAGAAAAATGCCCACCACTATAAAAACGCGCTTTTCTATTCTATAGCTCGCTAAATGGGACACTACTAAACATGCACCTTTAGAACCACACGCGGTTCCATGCAAATTTAAAATGATAAATTCTGTGCAATTGTGAGATCGATGCTGCTTAGGCGCCACCAATGTCCTGTCCTATGTGGGACTCTTCTGCAGAGCGATATAGGTCGTTCGATTTTAGCTCAATCACGGCCGAAAGATTCGTGTCTACGAACCGTGTACATACATACATACGTACACACATACATACATACATACATACATACATACATACATACAAACAGATGATACATACATACCTTGATACATATGATACCCTGATACATACCATGATACATATGAGGGTATGAAACATAGATAGATAGATACATACATACATACATACATACATACAGTAGATACATAATACCCTTTGAAAAAAGTGCATACATGTGTTTTTGTTGAAAGTATCAAACTAAGATTTTGCATATAGGTCGTCGAAGAGGGTGCCTTTTTTGTATCAAAGTTTAAAAGAATGAGCTTACCCGAGTAAGGAGTAACAAGCGAAGAGCGTGAATTTGGTACCTACGGCGGCCGCATGGTGCGCCAGCTATCAGTTCGTCACGTCCCATAGACTCTTGCTTGTGGAAGCCGAAACTCTCCATTCCCCTTGTTAGGTTCCTCACCACTCGATTGCAGCGCCACGTTTTTGCATGCTACTGCTACTCCCTGAACTGTGGTTGCGGACACGCTCCACTGCGTGGATAAAAGGTTCTTGTAACGTCGCACGAAACGGTAATTTACTATGGCAGCTTTGTGTTGCTTCCTTTTTCTAGGAGTGATTTTATCGGTTTATTTTCTTCTCGTTGGACTGCACTACTTATACAGTTTTTTCACGGATTCAAAGGATTTTAGGAGATATATTTATTCGTAATTTGATGTGCCGCTGGTTATCTCGCTCCGTCACGCTGAACGCTCGCGTGAGAAGAGTGCACATAAATTAGCACGCATGGCGGCAGAAAACAAAACAAAATGCATACACACAAACAAGGAATGAAGAAAAAAGAACCGGACAGATTTTGACCTAAACGATGCAAAACATCGCAATTTTAGGCCATCATAATCAAAGCTGTCTCGCACCTCTCTTTATCTCATCCTCCCACTCCCTCCCCCTTTCCACCAAATAAAAACGGCAAAGCTCAAGAGAGCGTGAAATCTGCGTGCGTCCTTTGGTTCCGTTTTATTTTGGTTGATCTTCAAGACGCAACACGTCCCGCAGCCTCATTTAGCGCCCTCAAGTCGTCTAGGAAGTAGCAGGAAAAATATAATCGTGGCATTAAAGGGGGATAGCAAAAGTCATTTGTAATAATAGGCTGCGGAGATGCGTGCGTTAGGCTGGGCTTTTATCTAATCAACGAGACGTTTCCCGTCGGCCGCGTCTCAGCCAGCGCCGCAATGCCGTACGCATACGAACGCAGTTGCCCGCCTGCAGGATGCGGGAGGCAATGAACCTTCTTGAGAGAATCGCGACCGAGACGACGCGTGTGCGAGTGGTCTCTGCGCAGACTCCGACAGAGACACAAGACGATTTTGATAGTCCCAGCAGCGTTTTTTCGAGAAAGCAAACCATCCAGTGGTGTACCAACTTGTTTTCGAGTGTGGGGGGGGGGGGGGGGGGGGGGGCAAACCAGGCAACCCCCCCGGTACCCTTGGGCGCCGCCGGCCAGTGTTTGCACTGCCCAGTGGCGGCTGTTTCAGGGGGGGGGGGGGGGGGGCAAAACACATGCCTTGCCCCCGCACTCTGAGAACTGGGGGTCAAGCGCCCCCCTTGACCCCCCCCTCCCCCCCCCCGGGTTGGTACGCCCATGAAACCATTTAACCTAAAGAGACCAGGGGTATGAACTTCGTAAACCCTGAAAGATGTACTGACAGCAGCGACGGATCGTTAATAGGAACCCCTTAGTACCCGCTATAAAAGGGCCCGTAATGTGAGTTGTCCATAAAAAAGAGACATTATTTCAGTTCGAATCCCCCAAGACAATTTTGGCAGCAACACTTAAGACTACTTACGTGCGGGAATGCGAAAGCATGACGCACGCACTAGTCACAACTATGGTCAGCCGAAACCGTGGAGTTGCCGTGGCGTCGGGGAAGCGCGCTCGTCTTGCACCCCGGAGGCCCGGGTTCGATTCCCACCCAGATAGAGTTCAAAGCCATTCATTCACTTTGTTTACAGGAACCTCCCTGAGGAATTTTTGACGTGTTCGGCTGGCTCCTTAGCAACGATGACGCCGTTGCTGTGGACCCACATGACGCGTCGGGGCCAGCGAGAATTTATTGCTCGTTTCGCTGCTACAGACATCGCCGGCTTCGTTCCATGGCACAGTTAATGTTTTCGCATTAAAAAATGTTGACTATGTATCGAGGGATTCATATTAACGTCATCCGTATTGACGAGATATAAAAGTCTTTTGTAAAACCGCGATTACACTGCTAAAACATCATACAAAAAACTGTCTGCAGACATGTCTGAAGCACACATATGCATGAAGAAAACATGCTTCGAATACACTTAAGGCGTGTTCGCCGATAATTCTGTTAACATGCCTGCAGCGAATACCGTGTCTTTCGTGTGATGTGGGAGCAACCCAAGAATCACCCGACTTCACTTTGCCACACGAAACTTACACAAGTTGCAGGGGTCGCATGATGCAGAAAAAATCTCCATTACGAAATGGAAGTGAAATGGCTTGGATAGCAAACAAACACAATTGCCTGTTGCCAGCCATCAAGTCAACAGTACAGCAAAAGGCACAGCCACGTAAGAACTACATGCCCGAGCTTGCTGCATTGACGCAGATAACTACCAGGAAAATTTGCGGATTAGAAGCCAGCCCTGCAGCTTCAGTGCATTAAATGTCAGTGGCCGCACATGACGTATGATTACAAGACGGCATCTGTCGGTCAAAGTTGCCACTCGACCAAACTGAACACCGACGTGCCAGGAGCGTCATCCGACAACACGGAGCACAGGTTCTACGACTGAACGCCTGACAGGAGACTGTCGCAGAAAGAACTCGTTATGGAACCATTTCCTAAGAATCAATAATTATGTAATTAAGTGGAAATAAACATATTTGATACACTAACCATATAAACATATTTCCGCCCGCCTTTACGCCTTCAGGGTGTCTACACAAAGAATTATGTTCACCGCACGTGCTGGACCTTTTGAGGACATCCGCATCTCTGACCCCTCAATAATAATTGATGGGACATACAAGACTGACAGACTGGTTGCAATGGGCTGCACTCGTTCCACTTCTGCTGAACACCTGGCGCATCCGAAAAACAACTCCAGTGATGTGAAAATGTTGTTTATTAATTTATTCCCTCCAAAGGGCCTCTGTAGGCATTGCAGATATGATACTTAAAGCTACATACGTGATAACATCAAAGCACACGGACATTGATGAGCACAAACCGGGCCCAGCTACCGAAAATAAATATTACGCTCGTAAGAAACAATTATTGCTGCAACTTGTTGAGTGCAAAAACAAACACACCTCTGAGCATCTAGTTTAATAGTATAAATGCGTTGTTATATAGCAGGACACTTTCTATACGTACGACCCAATAGACCGTTTGCAAAACCCCATCAAACAACACATCTGTGACCAATTTTTTTCGGCGTAAAGCACACGAATAGGCCCCAGTTGACGTCGAAGACTAATGCAGTATTCGAGTCCAATAGGCGCTGAGCCAAGTTCACAGTGATGGCTGATATAACATTCTTGTCGAACAAATGCCCAAAAGTATGAATGCCTTGGGTAATTGAAGTAGTAGTTACTGTAATCCGCTTCATCACAATTTGGCAAACAGCGAAGGCTACAGTCGGTCAGTCAGTATGTACGTTGGAGAGAAGCACATGACAACATATCATCACAGTGCTCATCTGCACACATTTTTCACACACCTTCACTCCGTCTCTCCGATTGGGTTGAGGGGGCTGTGGCGGTTGCCCTTTTCAAGTTCTGGTGAAACAAAGTAGAGGCGGCCCACACTTCTGAAAAAAAGTCTATTGAAGAGATTGAAAGGGATGGTAGTCAACATTTTTCAACTTTCTCAGGAGCTTCCTCGCTAAAAGCTGCCGTGATTATGCAGTTGCTTAGGGCTGAAACAAATTTCCCTGGGCCCTACGTCCGACGCATACATTTCGCGTCGATTCTCAGACATTCCAACGTTCAAACAAAGCTAAGAGAATGCGAAAATTTCATGCTAAAAGTACTCAAACTTCTATCGTTCCTCGAACAGATCCGGGAATCCGAGCACCGGTACGGCGATACGGCTAATGCTGTCTCATAGGTGTTAATATCCAGATTATCCAGAGCGACCTTACGCAAAAAAGGTATAAAGTCTCATTCCTTCATATTTTCAAATTATACCTGCGTCAGCGAGCACGGAGAAGCCCGATGTCGTTGGAAAGCAGCTGCACATCGCGGCTACCGCGCACCGAACAAACCCGCATCCGCCAGCTCTGGGCGCTGCCATCTTACCGGTGACGTCACGGCTCTTGGGAGGTCAGGTGACGAGTGGTCACATTTGCGTACAACATGGCGGCAACCGGGGGGGGGGGGGGGGGGGGGGGGAAGGGGGGTGCCTTTTCCGAACTTCCGGTTTATCACTCTAAGCCCCTCTCAACGAGGTAGAGGGGCTTAGAGCGATA